CATGCATGTTAATCTAAAAATTAGTCTGTTTAAACATACATGAAAAGATTCAAAAGGAATTAAAAGGAAGTCAGGTTATAAAATCACAATATTTACAGGCTCTTGGCATTAAGGTATGTGATTCAGATAATCATAAAGCTTGGGCTTGCTCCAACTTCACAATAAGGCCTCCTAATAATTTTATGCAGCTTTAACAATAATATATTTATAAAAGCAAATCATATAAAACCAGATTATCTTTATTATTGCTCCTTGCAGCCATATTCCAAGTCACTACCAGCTTTTCACAAAAAGACTTACTGTCAAAGAGTTGCCTGTGTATAATTATTTAAATGATCTAAAACCAAATTATTTTAAAATGTCCACATTTGTTAACAAAGTAGTGGTACAAGTAGAGGTTCACCAGGCCTCGAGAGAGCCCAGAAGAGCTTTCTTTGAATATCTTCTAAGTTGTTATAATTCACAGTAACATATAGAGGAAAAAACACAGAAAACTAGGCACTGTTTATAGCACACTCTTCTACCATATCGCACTCCTATTCTCCGTGAAACTGTAAGACTCTGTAAGTTGTAGGTAACTGATGCACAATGCAAATTCCATCCTGTCAGGTAGAGGATTCGGCTGACTTCCTTCACTGCTCCCTGGCTTCTCGTCCCCCACAAACCACTTATGTCTCCATTTGCGATCCATTTCAACATTCCTTTACTTCATATAAATTTGTAGAGTGTTTCTACCTTTCCTTTGAACCAGTTATTCTGTTTCCCTGATTCCTCCACTGATTATGAATAAAACCTTTAAGGCATACTTATTTTTATATCTGTATGTCATTATATTATCACTCCACATACTAGTCAACTTTCTCGCTATTGGTTAAGACACTGTTCAGTACTAACACAAAAAGATACCCTGAATAGGGGCTATGAACTGGACTGGAAAGGTCCACCTCTCCATGTAAACTAATAGGCAGACCTTTGACTTTTCTAAAATCAATCCCTTCTCATTTCCGTGGCATAAATGAAGTCATAAATTCTGATGAAGTAAGGAAATCAGGTTTCAGGACTTGCAAAGCTAATATACAGACTGAATACTGGTGAAGCCAGGGAACAGCATCCACAAACTGCTGCCCATTCATCTCCACTATCCACGTAATGACTTCCTTTAAAAAGTTAAAACTGAAGACAATGGTCAATCCAAAAGCAGAATTCATGTCACAAGACAAAAAAACAAGTTTGGTAGTCTGCGCTACAAAAGATTCTCAAAATTTGCCATCACTTTGAATGTGTCCATCCATAAAACTAGGTATATTTTTACATCACTTTAGAAGAAACACAAAAGTCTTTGTTTAGTTTCATAAATTATCAAAAGTATAATCATGGAAAATTATAAAGGAAGTAAAGGGATGAGAAACATATTGATAACAAAATTAAAGATCATGTTCCACCTGTAAGTAACCCAAACTGGGAGAACTGGGCAGCTTCTAAGCCCACCACATTCTTCTCCATCTACCTACTCCCTTTATCACAAAGGCACTAACTGAACAGAAATAAAATAAAAGGGATCATAATAGATTTCAATTTCTCTTACTACTAAGAGGCACACTATGATAGCTAATTTTATGTGTCGATTTGATTGGCCAGGCAGTACCCAAATTAAACGTTAATTCTGGGTATGTCTATGAGGATATTAGAGGATGAGATTAGCATTTGAATTGGTGGACTCAGAAAAGTAGACTTCCCTCTCCAATGTGGGTGACATCATCCAAACTGTTGAAGGCCTGCACAGAACAGAGGAAAGAGAACTCGCCCCTTTTTGCCACCTCACTGAGCTGGGTGGGACATCTCATCTTCTCTGGCCCTTGGACTGGGATTTACAGCACTGGCTCCCCTGGTTCTCAGGCCTTGAAACTCAGACTGAATTATACCACTGGCTTTCCTGAATCTCAGTTTTGCAGACAATACCTTATGGGACTTCTCAAACTCCATAATCACATGATCCAATCTCTCACAATAAATCAACATCTATCTACCTACCTACCTATCCATCTCTCTCTATATACATATGTATACACACACACACACACATATATATATCAAATATATACACACAAATACATATATATTAAAAAATGTAAATATATATATACATTTTTAAATAGAGATATAAATCTTTCCTGCTGGTTCTGTTCCTCTGGTGAGCTCTATTACACACACATACATGCTATCCTTGCTCAGAACTACCTCTTGATGTATAAATATAAAATGAATTAATAGTCAGAACTATCCAGTCCAGGCAAACTATTTTCCAAGAGGAAACACCTGCTCTCCACTGACTGGTGAGGCCATGGATATACTATATATCAACCATATTCAGAAACAACAAATCATTTCACTATTTTTTAAACTCCAGAGAGAATGCTGAGAAAGGCATAATTTGTTTAATGCAAAAATAGTTTTAGGCAACGCAGTGATTCATAGTTAATCTCTTCTCCTCCTCATCTTTGAGACTTAAAAGTCTCATTTAATTCATTTACTAAATATGGCTCAAAAGAGTCCATTACAAGATGGGGAGGAGGGGCCACTGGTAAGACTTAAAAAAGCAAAATTATTCTAATAGGGCTCTAGGGGTTTTTCCCAAAATTATTTAGGAAAAATAAACACCAGAAATGAGTACGAAAGGATAGAGTATCTTGCCTCTCTGCAAAAAAATATTTCTAAAACCTGGTCTACGAAATATATTTTGCATAATACCTATCTGTTATTAAAATACCTATAAAGAAGACACAAGTAATAAGACAGTTTACCAAATGCAAGAACAATATGCATTCTGACTCCAGGGCCACTTCTACTTTTATAAGAAAAGAAAACAGGTTTCCAGTTTTTGAGCAACTTCCCATGCAGCCACTGGTCCATGATCCTTTCTTTCTGTGTAGGTCTCAGAAAATAAAATTGGTATTTATAAACATCTCTTTAAAATCAAGAAAAAAAATTAAGGCATGAAAAAGTTTTTTTAATTTTAAAAGGCTCAATCTGGGCAAACTTTATTTTTTTCACAAGCCAATAATAAAAAGTGAAGCCTCAGAAGTAGATAAACATCAACCGCAACAGTTCAGAGAGGTCTGAAGGTCCTGTCTTTTTCCCGCTTCTTCATAAATGTTTTCTATATGTTCTTGACCATGTAAGCACAAAGTACAAAAGTTATTACCATGTAAAAATTTCTTCTGTTCTCGATTTTGAGACTACTTCCTATAAATGGCACAAACTTTAAATTTTTATAGTTTGAAACGTCCTTTGGTCAGCTCAGGTGACACAAAAAAAGGTGACACCTTATTTTTAAGTAAAATTGATATTAACCAGCATGATCACCCAACCTTATCACCTAGGTTGGCCCTAAAATAGCTTCTGGTTCATTTCAAACAACTCTAGCTTCAAAGAACAAAGACTTAGCACAAGTTCAGTTAAAACAACATGCTACAGCTTTTGAAGACATGGTTTGAGATGGAGTAGTCCCTGCCTTCAGAAAGGTTCCCTCCAAATAAACTGAAGTATTCATGGCCATCGACACCACTTTTCAATGCATGCCCAACAGCCTCCTCCATTCCTTTTTATTCATGGGCTTCCTGCCTAAAAAGGTCCTCTCCCCAGCCATGACAATTACTGAAATCCTAAAATCTCTTCAAGACCTAGCTCAAAATATACCTGCTCCATGAACTCCAGAAGTATTTCAATTTCTGTACAGCTCACTAGGTCAGCATGTGCTATTTTTAAGCTGATGTTCTTTTAATATATTCTGACTTCTCGATTATAGTTTATAAGTAACTAGGCATATCTTCCATCTCCAGTGCAGTTCACTGAAGATACACACTGGCCCTTCCAAGAAACAATAAGTGTTTCTTTTCTTTTCTTTTATATAAAGATTGGGACAGTATTATTAGTTTGGGCCTGATGGATTATGGTGAGCCTTGCAAGGCTAAGGAGTGTGACTTTTACCCTGCAATAAAAGAGAACTGAAAGTTCTTGAACTCAAAAATGATATGATAAAAGTGTATTTTAGAAAAAGTAGTCCTTGGTCTACAGCTGCCAGATTGGGGGGCAAGGGGGTAACATCTAGATCAAGGAAGGCAGGTAGGTGGCTCAGCATAAAAGGGTTAAGTTATAAGGTCAGAAAGCCTTGGGTTCTCCAACACTTCTCGTTTTGTGACTCTGGGTTAAATTATATGACTTCTTAAAAGCTTCATTTTCTTTATTTATAAAACACAGATGATAAAACCAGAACTTGTAGTATTACATCAAATACCATAATGCCTAACAAAGGGTAATAAGCACAGTGCATGCTGGCACCAATTCTCTGACACCAACTGGGTGTCCTACAATTCAGTTCTGATAGTCACTTCCTGGAGTTAGCATCAGATCCCACAAGTTAAAGGACAAGATACCCAAGCATATTGCCCTTGCTTCAGATGTCCCCAAGCTATTAGAACTTTTGTCCAACTTGGCTACAAATTCCCGCAACCCTCCTTAAGTGTAATAATTTGCTAGAATGATTCACAGAACTCATTGAAAACACTATACTTAAACAAGTACAGTTTTATTATAAAGGATATAACGCAGAAATAGCCAAGTGGAAGACATGTGTGGAGCAAACGGGGAGAGAATAGGGGGATTCAGCGCATCCATGCTCTCTCTGAGAAATTCATACGTCACCTTCCCAGTACATGAATACATTTACCAACACAGAAACTCCAGTGTCCCAGAATTTACATAAGGCATTTCATTACATAGGCATGATTAACTAAATCACCAGCCACATGACTGAATTCAATCTCCAGTCCCCCTCCCCATCCCAGAGACAAGAGGGTGGTAAAATTCCAACCCTTTAAGGGAGAACTAAGTCTTTCTGGTATGGCTAACTATTGTAGGGCCCACCCTGAGTCACTTCAGCAGCATACACTCAGGTACAAGTTTAAAGGGGGCTCATTATGAATAACAAAACATACTCTTACCACTCAGGAAATTCCAAGGACTTTTGAAGCTGTGTCTGGATCCAGGGTCAATAACTAGAAAAAAATTTTATTATATTACATACACAATAAATGGAAGCTGTTATTTTAGAAACCAAGTAGTAAACAAGTAAAATAATGCAAGCATAAAAATGAAGAGGAAAAAAAAAAACATCAAAAGCATCACAAAAGACAAAGGAACAGCAAAAAGGAGAGGGGGTCGAATTGAATATAAAGGTTCAAGCCTAGGTGACTAAAAAGACAGAAACAGACATATCCAGGAAGAAAGTGAAGATGGGCTGAGAATGAATTTAGTGTTAGTCCAGTTGAGACTGAAGGCATCGACCAGGGATTTCAAATGGACACTGGACAGATACGGAGAAATGAGCCTAGAGATGGGAGAGGACAGGGCCAAAATCGGTTGTCAGAGTTATCCACATAGATAAAATACCCCGGTCCTCCACCTACCACCCAAAAAAAAGCCCTCACTACTCAAAGGGAGGGTATCAGCTAATGATGTCACATAAGCATCTATCTGAGTTCAATAAAAAAGAGTTATTGCACACAGCATCAAATATAAGGGCTGAACTCTAGAACATATTCCATTTAATATTTTGGACTCTAAACAAAATGGTACCACATTTTAACACAAAGATTTCCAAAAGAATCACATGACCAAATGCCAAACAGAAATGTCAGGTTTTGTTCTTTGAAAGAAATGTACCATTTTATTTTCTATCAACAGGAAACTTATAATGCATCTCTCTAACAGAAATGCTTATTTTTCAAAGAAGTTTATAGAACAACCATAGAACATTTCAAAATACAACAACATAAACAAAAGAACTGTGTATAACCAATTCACAAAAGCTTCTTGTTCAGCTTCATGAAGCAGGATAAACACTTCAAGCATAGAAACCATTACAAAGACTTACTCAAAGCTTTTAGAAAGCACATTCAATAACCAGAAACTGCCTTGGTAATTGCCCATGGTTCAGAAGCATCATAATTTATTTTTCCCCACAGTGCACACATCATCTCATCCTTTGTTGCTAGCTTCCCAGAAGAGAATCCCAACTCTGTCTTTCAGCCAGTAAAGGTGACAAATGGGAAAAGAAACGGAAAGCAGAGTTTGAGGACAGCATACTGGGCTAGTCAGATGACTCACGGTATAAAAAGGCTTAATGGGCCCACGGAAGCGAGACATTCAAGTACTCACTGGATTAATTAAAAGGCTCACTGACTCAGAAAGTCAGAAGGATGGTGATGGTCATGGTACTTAGGACGGGAATGCAAGAAGAGTGCAGTGAGAGCCCAGTATGTGTCCCACCCATTCATCCATCCATCATACCCATTTCCATCCCTTGCCCCAGTCGCTCAGGGAGACAGGGAGGCGGCAATGTTACAACTGGTAAGGGTACTGGAGTTTCAACTCTTACCTGATAGTAACACCCCTAGGCAGAATCTGGTCAGGGAAGGCGAAATCTTAGCCTAGATCCCAATCTCCAGAGATAGTAGAATAAAGGGCAGCCCTGCCCCCCTCCCCACATTCCTTAACACTTGGGGTATTCAAGTTCCAAAGATGGCTACAGGAACTCAAAGACCTTCCTAACGGAAGAAAATAGGCATGACACACTCTCCCCATTTCCTGGACTCTGATTCCAAAGCCAAATTACAAGGACCTTTTCATTCTGCATAAAACTTTAAAATATGTTTGTATTAGGCAAACTGCTGCTTTTGTTATAGTAGTACTTAATTCTGTTATACCAAAATGAATGTATAAACCAATTATAACTATAGTCACCTACCTATGTATAAACTTCTTGTTGTTCATATGGTAGACAATGTCCGTTAAGGTTTATTTTCATTATCCTAAGCTAACAGTAGCTGAAGAGTCTCTTAGCTTGAACCATCCCCCAACTGCTCCAATTACAAAACCCACAGAAAGCCAAGGTCTGCCTGAGATCACTAACAATTTCTGAGGAGCTTAAAGTCTCTCAGCCTCAAGATCCCCTCTTCTGACTCAGCCAATTCACCAATTTTACCCTGCTTCCATCCACCCTTACCCCTCAAAATGCCCCCCAAAAACCCTTAAGTAAAATGGAGGGTCTGAAGGAACAGATAATTTAAATAACAGATATCCCTGAGCCAACTTTCCTGTTCCTCTCTCTTCTTTAATCACCCACATCCCTACTCAACCAAAAACTGTCCTTGAAGCTCCAAATGGTTATCCCTAGGTTAAGCAAAATTCAGCCCTTTCAGATTCCTACTCCCTAATGAGCATGCCCACATCTGTCAAGGCGCTGAACTCAAAGCCTTCCATCTATTAAGATCTACCCTCCAAATTTTTTTAAAGCAAAATGATAATTGTTACCCTGTTAAGCCACATTTCCAGCCATAAAGCTTCTTCCTAGTACAAAGGCAGGCAGAGCAGATCTTCTCAATGTTTACCAACACGAACTAGCAAGCTGCTGTCCTAACTAACTGCTCACCAGAGCAAACTCTACCTTCCCCTTTCACAGAGCAGCAAGGTCACCTGCATGTTAAAAATGTCCTTCCTCTCAAAAGCAACTATTGTCAGTTACTGCATCCCATTCCTTTCAGTTCTTGCCAGGGAAACTTTACATCCTAACCAAGTAAAAAGTCCCCTCATTTTTTTTTAACAGATTAAGAAATTAAGTCTCAAGAAGGTAAAATTAGTTGCCCACAGCCTTCTAATAAAAAAGAGTTAAGATGTATGAGGTGCTGTGAGAAATGTGTCACTTGCATCATCTCTTTTAATCCTCCCAACAACCACAACAGAAAAATAGCACTGTGGCCCCTTTTTACAGATTTAGGTTAAAAAAATAAAAAACAGATTTAGGTTAAAACAGATTTAGGTTAAAAAAATAAAAATTTTCTGCTCCAAATCACAATGACGGTAAGTGCTACATTGGGATTCAAGCCCATCAGGCAAAATTCAGAGTTCAAACTATTAAAGGATAATTTAAACAAACAAACAAATAAATAACATGGTGTCTTCCACACAAATATAAAATGAATACCTATCTATGATTTTACTTAACTCATTAATTAATTACAGAATAAAATGGTTCCAGCTGGTTCAAACTCAAATCCAAAAAGCATAAACTTAGAGGCAAGCAGAAATGGTGAAAGATCTGCTTAATAGATCCAAAACTGGTTTCTTCTGCAAAGGCGGAAAAGAAATCAGCTGTATCTCCAACCAACAAATTCATTTGCATGTCTAAGGACAAGAATTATTTGCATTGCTTTAAGTTATTCACAACTTTACAACAAACGTTGTAAAATAAAAAATAAAAGCTGCAGACCCTACAGATCAGATCGCCAGAAAAAGTGTTCTAGACATTGCCTACCTTCCAAGTAATCATTTGGTGCATTTCAAAGACTTTCACAAATAACCACTATGCACAATGTCTGTTTCTTCATTTAGAAAAAAATCCATTGCTTCAAGATCTCTAACCACCACTAGAAAAACTGAGTTAGTCCCCTCCAAAAAATTACTCTTTCATTCAGATAAATTTTTGTCTATCACATACTAAATCATAAATTTAGGCTACAAATTTATATACAAGTGCAAAAATAAATGAATTCATTGGATGGTCAAGCTTCTTAAGAGATCTAAAACTAATAAGGATTTGGTTTTACTGAACAGTGACCCACAGAATTACTCTCTGGGGAAATAAAGACATATAGTTAAACTGTCACTTCCAACTAACTGACCCAAAATTAATTTTCTTGCATAAGAAAGTGTGAAAAATTAGTAAACAGCAACCTCATTTAAAATGAAGTAGAGAGGCCAGAAGGGGGAGCTCTCACCCCCTACGACAATAGTAAAGTACAAAAGGAAGAACTCTGTAATAGCCCTTCCAAGCTCCTCTTCCCCTCTATAAGAGTTTCCTCTCCTTTATTTGAGAGGACTCGCACGTGGCCTGCCATGGTTGCATGATCCCGATTGCAAATCTTCGTTGTTCCCAAAAAAAACATTGTGCTGGAGAAATATCTGGCTGACTTTTTACTTAAGGTCAACAAAAGTAATCCTAGTCCAATTTACACAACCAGTAAAATTGAGTAAATGTACTTTTCCCTACTGCTCCAGCTAAACGCAACTAAAAACCCTGAACGTTATATATAAAACAAATGAAAAAAGACTGAAAGTGACGAGGAGGCAAACCAGCCCTGGACCTTGGGACCCACGGAACCACACAGTGGTGAGTCTCCTTTTCCTTCTGCATCATATACCACACGGACAGGGAGCTGAAGAAGCCAGTAATCCAGAAATGCAAAAGGGGCAAATAAAACAAAGCCTTTGCTCTTTCAAAGGACCAAGAAAAGAGCAGCATAGCAAAACAGAAATTTTTTATGCAATAACCAGTGTACTCCAGCAAAAAACCACAGAAAAAAACTGTGGCTCACCCCAACCTATCACAGCAAATGCCAAGTAGGGAGCCTAAACTTTCAGCCTCACCAGGCTGTAAAGCCGTGCCTCGGCATGACCCACTCCAACTTCCTACCCCTGCAGAGGTAATATCAAAGACAAAACTTTCTTCCCTGCCAGGTGGTAGTAAGACCCACTTCTTTGCCACACAGCATCTATGGAGACCATCTGGACAGCCTAGACTTCTCCCATGACAGTAATGAGGCACCCCTTCGCATCCCTATGTGAGTAGTATGACGCAAGGTCTAGTAGAGAATAAGATCTTTCACCACCTCCCAGGGGTAAAAAGGCCATCCTCTCCTAGTGGTGTCAGTAGAAGCTATGTAGGGACGGTAAGGGAGCAGAGTAGTATCAGTGAAGGGCTAGGGAGGAGCTGAAACCTCCACCCTGCCCAGCGGCCAGGAGTCTCACTTTGTGTATCAATGGACCAATTCCTTGACACCACACAACTCATCCAAAATGAAACTAGATAATAAAAAGGCATATAACCCAATTAAAAAATGGGCAAGGGATCTGAATAGACATTTCTCAAAAGAAAATATACAAATGCCCAACAAGCACAGGAAAAGATGCTTGACATCATTTGCCATCAGAAAAATGC